GGATCTCTTTTTATTTTCTCACTTTTTTCCCCCATACCTTTCTCCCCACAACAGAATTTCTGTTGCCTTATATGAAAGAACAATCTTTATTTTTAATGGAGGCTTTAGTTTGTGGTTATTTCTATTTATTTTCTAAAAGGGAGTTTATGTAAAATAATTTGCTAGGTGAAATAACAGTTCTAGATTAGCATAGACACTTTTTGGGTTTTGGTGATTAGAAGTGGTCTTTACCAAAAGACTATATGTGAGTGTTAAAGAGAAGTACAACAAATAACACCCCTTGACACTACACACCCATCAGCTGGGTTTGTTGGCTTAAAGGTGTGAGGAGGGAGATATCCAATGCTCTTTTCTCTCTGTGTCTTTAGGAAATCGATTGAGTTTCAGGATGGTAAAGATTAGCTTTCAGAATAGTAATATACTTACACATAAATTTAGCGATAATTCGGGAGTTCAGTATCTCATGCAGTTATCTTTCTTACAAATTAAAGAAAATTTCCTTATGCTATTGAAGTAAAAAAGTAGTTCAGTTTCCCATTTCTAGAAGATCTGTCAATATAGAACTATAGTGTCAAAACATTTGTAGTTATTAAAGTTACTATTAAACTATTTTAAAATCATTTTATTTAATTACTTTTTGTCCTAGTTTTTAGTCTCATACACATCGCTACAACATAACTACAACAAAGGGGCAAGACAACAGCATTTAATACCATTTTTAAATGCTTTCCAAAACAGTTTTGACACTGTCTGTCAGATTAACTAGCATGTGAAGAAGGCACTGTTTGTTAGAAAGCACTGGTGATTCTATATTGTGTCTGTATCACATATGCTGAGAAAAACTTGGTGCCTCATTTTTTCATGTAAAGTCCCATAGCTCAGCTCTACCACCCTTGGGAAAAGAGAATAGAGATCAGCTATAGATGAACCATTTCCCTCCATCTACCCAGAAATTTTACTTTTTTCTGCTAATTACCAGAGGTCCACAGGAGTACTGTATATTCTCTTGGCAATCTATCAACCTCTTCTTCAGAAGGATAAAACAAAAAATAACATCCAATTTTTCTTTCTGATACTAGCCCATTTTTCTGTCTTTGGTCTCCAGGTCAATACACCGTTATTTCTGCAGTGCTGAAGGATATAACATTGGCAATAGACTAAGCACAGGCAATGCAGGAAGAAAGAAACATTTTCCTGCCTGATTATTTATATCTAAATAATGATGTTGATTTGAAGCTGGTCGGATTTTGATAATGGAAGAATTTGTTCTGACAGGGAAGAATTCTAGAGGGCAGAGTGCAGAGGGAGAAGTCAGAAAGTGTACGAGAAATGCAATTTATTACAAGTTCCTTAACTAATTGTCACTCCGTCACCATGGGACTGAAAAGGGCCCCCGAGGGATGTGACAAAACATATGTAGAGCTATGCTGAATGTGCATCTGCAAAGCTGAATCATTCAGATGCATTCAAATCTGTGGTCAATTTGATTGTGGGAGATGGGGGACACTGAGATTCAGGACAAGTCTCCGCTACTAAGGATGCATCTCCTCGTGATGGTGAAGCACACACATTTTGCATCACTGTGCTCATACTGATTTCCTGGGAATTCATTATACTGACTTGCTGCCACACTAAGCGGTAACTACTCTGCTGTAATGATTTCCAGCAATGCTGGTGGCACTTTCCCACCTCATCTTATTTAATTATTTATTTTAATTTTAACTCACTCTGACGGTCTCCTGACATACACAACACATTTTCACGAGGCCTCCCAGGAGACAGCAATAACACAAGTCTACTCTGCAGTTGCATACATCATTATAACAAAAACCATAAAGCAGGACACTTAATCTGAAGCTGCCGACAAGAGCACCGAGCAGTCAGCATCTCAGTATGTTAGCTTAAGGCAACAATTTAAGGGATTTCAGAAAGTTCAGTCCTTTTTTTTTAGTCACTCACAGTTCAAGTTCGTCTATTCTTTGCTTTACTGTCTCTTCTGTGTTAACCATTCAAGGTCTTTCCATCTGTACTTCCCCCTGTAGACAAACTTTGCTGTCTTCGTGGCAGAGTTGAGGTTTCTTTTAGGGGGTGGGGCAGGTTTTTAATGAATGTTTATGCTAGACATTTAGTAGGAGGGTGTTGAGTAAGTAAGAATGAGGACCTTTGTACTGAGCATTAATTAGGCTTTGGTTTTAAAAGGTGTTTACCAGAACGAAAACGCTTCAAAGAATCTTCACTAAAAATCCTTTCTCTTTTAACTGCAGAATTTTTCATAGTGGAAACAATTCTCCAGGCTTCACACACAATTCAGGAACAGTTGAGGCCTGAATTTCTAACCATGATTATAACAGGAAGTAGATGCCATTGTAATCTTGCTTTTTATTATTATTATTTTAGACAATATTTGTTCAGAATAAAGAATTTTAAAACTTTAATTTTTGGGGCAGGTGTTTAACAGTTAATCTCTGAATTGAGTTAAATAACATAGTGGTTTTGGCAAAATGTAAATTTAATGCCTCCTAGTTAATGTTAATGCTAAGAAGAACAGATATTTTTGAGATGAAGAAGCCCTCCATAGTTTGCCGCTTTTTTCTCTTATTTGTTCTGTTATTTATAAGCCAGACTGTAAAAACACAGTTTAAGAAACAAAGTTCTGTATAGTAAATCTTGATTTGTTGGTATCTTCTGCATTCATTTATATTTACTTTTTTATAAGCAAGAATTTTCCAGCACCACCGTCCCCACAGTTTTTATAAAGGGAAGTTCAGTAGTAATGATTTCAAATACATTTTAAATGTGCCATTCTGAGAAATCACAATGCACTTTATATACCATTTTTAACTTATTATGCACTGCTTATAGTCTTATGAACTGCTCTCTGGCATTTCCCAAGATGGAAACAAAGGGAAGAAAAATAATACTTGAATGGATAAAACTGCAGCCTTATCATTTTGTGAGGTACTGATTAATTTTAATGTACATCTGAAGTATAACAATGACTAATCTATTTAAATAGCTCATCTGTAAATATAGAAACTTTAGAAGGAAATAGCATGCCTCAAGGCAAAAACTGATTTCTACCAAGAATCAGGAAAGAATGCAGACAGGCAAGGAAACAAAGTTAGAAACAAATGTGAGACTCGGAATGTCTGGATTCTGTCCCTGGTATAACTTAGACTTCATACAACATCTAGCTGTGAAAAATTCCTATTGAATTACGTTTGTACTTAAAGAAGGTAATAATACATCACGTTGTATGAATCTGTTCTGAGGTGGGATGTGAGGCTTTTAAGAGAACGTGGCTTGGTCCTTGTAGGGGTTGAGGGGAGATTACATCGATATGGAAATAAGGAGCAGGGTAATACTAAATGTCTAAAAATTTCTTTCCTCAGTGGAAAATACCATACAGAGTTTCTTTTTTAACTCCTGCCCAGCCGCAAGAGACTGGAGTTCTTCCTTTACTTCAGCATAACCCACTGTCCTGAACTGAGTAATAGCAATGGAAAATATGTCCTTTCTGAGTATTTTTTATGTACAACACTCTTGGAGTATTCTTTCATTATTCTGATGAGAAACTGTACTTAGATGAATACAGAAGAAAGTATGGTTGGGCTTCCAGTATTATTATGGATATGAAAGAAGCATAAGGGAAAAAAATCTGCAGCCGAAAGACAGTTGATGAGCTTCCTTCCCCTGCAGTATTTTTCCATCTGATTTCTAATTTCTCGTTTGGTTCTTCTTTAGAGATTTTGAGTTTTTCTGTTGGGTTCCCATGAAACTTAGAAACAAAATTAGTTTCATTGTGTTTCTGTTTACATAACTTGTAATGGCTTTATAATACTCAAACAAAACCAATATTGGAAGGCAGCTCTAATTTTTGTAGGTTTAGTTGCATATTATGAGACTCCTGATTGACTGTTCTTTGTTATCTTCAGATGACCGAACAAACGGCTACCTTAGGGTAATTATTTCTCTGAGGTTGAAGAGTTAATTTATTTCTTTCAAGGTACTTTGCTTTAAGCACTACATCAACTTTTGTGCAGGTTTTCACATTTTACTATTGTAGAATAAAAGGTTACATTTTCCTTTTTGAGGCTGAGAAAATATTAGATGCTTTTATTAAAATAATACTGATCATCTAAACAACAGTACCTGAACTTTCTTGTCAGTATGAAATAGTTTTGTGAGGTTCCAGTATAATATTGGTTGGAATTTATGTAAAGCACAGGGAATAAAAGTGCACATTTTGACTGAAAGTTCCTGTCAGTATGCTCTAATATTGGCTCAGAATCCTCAAAGCCCATTTTGGAGGCTTTCTTTCAAAACCCATCATAGTCTTGGTATTTTTCACCATGTTGGATCTCTGTGTGGCGTACGGAAGATCAAGAACTCATGTGAAATGAACTACCAATCACTATCTATCTAATGACACTGTAGCAGTGATTTTATTTTATTGCCAGACCAGGTCAGTGATTTGCAGGTAAAGGCCAAAGGAACTGTCCTGAATCATCTAGTTTTTAATAAAGTGTATGTTTTCATAGCTTGGAAGAGCCATGTTAATTCTTAAGGTATTTTAATAAAAACAACCTGAAAACACTTTTACAGGAAGGATGGAAAAGAAATTTTAGTTACAATGGGAGTCTTCGAGAGACTGGTTAGTACAGCTGTGAGTGTAATCTAAGGTCAGAAACCTGAAAATTGCTGGTTTTAGTGATGAGTAAGTGGCTTTCTTTTCTTTCCCTATTAGATAGAAAATGGTCGGCTGTGGAACTCTATTGTGAAGACCTCAGAAGAAATATCAATTTTTCCAGTCAGCCTTTCATAATGTAAATATAATTTGAGCTTTCCCAAATGGGCAGCTAAACCATGAACAAGCAGAAAAACCCATTTTGGACTGTATTTCTGAACCAGGCTTCACCTTCTGTCTCGGGAACTTATTAAAGGATTACAGCTGAAAAAGACAAGAGAAAGAAAACCTTGAACAGGAAGCTTATCCTACCATGAGAATTACAAGTACATCTTGTATCTGCCCAGTCCTAGTTTGTCTCTGTTTTGTGCAGAGGTGTTATGGAGCTGCTCACCATGGCTCCATCAAGGTGACTAGAAATCAAACCAAACACGTAGAAGGCGAAACAGAAGTGCATCATCGTCCCAAGCGTGGATGGGTGTGGAATCAGTTCTTTGTTTTAGAAGAACACATGGGACCAGATCCTCAGTATGTAGGAAAGGTAAGGTCGTTGTCTTCTTTTTCGTTTTGGTTTTGTTTTTCCCATCCCCTGAAATGTGGCATTGATAGAGGAAAACCAGGTATCTCCCTAGATGGCACCTCTTTTTTAAAGGAGGACGTCTCTTGGATTGCTACATACATGCACAGTGAACTTGCCAGTTGTCTATGTATACTTTCTGTGTTTATTACAAAGAAAAAAGATAAATAAAAGTAAATAGGATGAAGATATTAAAATATGATAAAATAGCATTTCTTCTGAGCTCAGCTAAACATGGAGTGAGTGCAGCTGATCCTCTTACATCAGATTCTGTAGAACCCCAAGTGCATGGGGCTTAAATATGTCACTGCTAAAGACTTTTCCACACTATTCCAGAATAAGATTCATTTCTACTTCAGGGAATATTATAAATACAGTCTAGGCTCCAGAGAGTATTCATTCCACTCTGAGGGTAGGGTGGAAAAGGAGTCCTCCAAAGGGAAATCCTCTGTGACTTTCTTCATAAAAAGAGGCAGGAGGTGTGTTACTTGTTACAGTTTCTCAGAAGCCTGTGAGAACAACAAGCCCTGCATTTATGTTTTTGGCATATATAGTGAGCTTCAGGTATAAAGTTCATGCTGATGCAGTTGTAGGCTGGCCAACTGAAGTCTGGTTTATCATGTGCAATGTTGTCTGTATAACTTGGGTTTTAAATTTGCATTAAAATAACACAAAACTGTATATATAGCTTTATTGCAAGTTTTATGACAGATGGAGCTTTTCTCCCCCTGAATACTGTCTTTCAGCATTATGATAGAATTTTTTATTATGTAATGTAGATGAATCTTAATTTCCTTAATGAAAATGGAGAAAGATGTTGAATATGAGGGGTGAAGAAAGACGGTTAATGGGGATGAGGGCATGGAAAAGGAATTATTTCATTTTAGTTTGCCTTCAAGTTGGGAATCCTGAAAATTATATCTTAGAGTATGAAAAATATCCAAGGAAACCAGTAGCTTCTAAAATCACAGATGTCTGGTAGCAAGGGCTTTCAAATTTGAACGGTATCATCTGAACTAAAAATAGCAAGTGGAGCATCTGTATTTAAGATACTGTTAACACAGCGACCAAAAAAAATTATTTAGTTATGCCAACCTTAGTAAAATAGCAAGTACTTCAGCATACTGAAAATTGTTGAGATTTGTGCAGGATATGTAAATGGGGGAAGGACCTTTCTAAATGGAGATAGTGGGTTGCATTGAAAGAGAAGCTTTTAAAATGAGTAAGGGGATGAGGACATATGCTTCCAGACCCATCTTAGACTGATTAACATTTTCATGAATGATTTTGGAATAGAAGAAACATTTTACAAACATGTTGCTGATGCAAAGATATGCAGGAGAATCAAAACATTGTCTGGAAAGAGCTAGATAGCATGAATAAGATTTGGATATGGAGATACAGAGTAAACCTCAGGACCACAATGTGATAAGGCTCTTACAGGACAATATCATGAATTTCTGTTAAACGCTACTGGTTTGTCAGGTGTAAGTGACAGAGGAAGAGAAAGATCTGGTCACCAGATCAATTATTGCCTCTACTGTCATACCTTAAAGAAGGTAAATACGATACTAAGCTGCAAAAGCTGAGATAATCCAAACAGAGATAAAGTGGTATTGAAGCCATTGTGAAAAATAATGTTAACCTGTTTACCGCTCTGATTATTTTTGGCCAAGAAAAATGAATTTATATATGAAGCTATACAGAGAAAAACAAATACTATGGTTGGGGTGGTGGTAGAGAATAAAATACATTTGTTTAATTAGTCTCACAAATAATAGTGGAAAGCAGGTATTATTCTATAAATACACTTCAGGAGAAGCCACAAGGGAAAGAGAAGAGCTATTAAAGTTAATTAAGCTTTTACTTGAAAAAATGAGGTTTTGCTGGCCATGAGTTAATTTAGAATGGAAATAAGGAAGTAAGTGAGATTCTGAAAGAGTCTACTAATAGGAAGAGTGGAAACAAAAATCTGAAGGGGTTTCAAAGTAAAGCGTGCTTGTCTTTATGAAAGATTTATAGACATGATTGCATGCAAGAACAGAGGCCTGTATTCAGTGAGCTAAAGGATAGTCCCTTTCAATTTTATGTTCCTATCATAGCGTTATATATTTTCTTTCATCCTCTGTCCACTCTATTAATGCTACATTTATGGAGATCAGTGAATAGGATTTCTTTTAATCCTTCATGGTCAGAATGTGACTACATGCCTTGTTTGAGGACATTTCTTCCTCTGTACGTGACAGTTTTTATCCCCTTTTCCTCAAAGAATTCCCTGTGGTGTTCATAATTTTCTGCTCCGAGTACTTCACAACATTAGTAAGCTCATCTTTGCAGAAGCTTTGTGGCATTAGAAGCATCTGTACTCTATTTTCCATTTGTTATGATGGTTCTGATGACATGATTTACTGCAAAGATCAATGATATTAGCTGAGGCATATATTTTTAAATCAGAAAAAACAAAAGCTTGGCTGAGACTGACATAATATTAGTAATTAGGAAAATTTCAGTAGTGGTCATTGTGCATGAGTTCCTTTTAATTTTGAAAAATAAATGCTTTACTGATGTTGTGTTTAATTGTACACACCTCATCAAGGTCTCATTCTACGTGCCTTTAATTTGAGAAGAAGTTTTCATGCACAGCCCCTCAGTTTATGAAGGAAGGCTATATGAGTGGTGCCCTTTAATTCCAGGCTTCTGTTCAGTGGCAGCACGCTATCAATTCTGTCAATTATTAATTCTGTAGACTACTCTACTTCACTGGTGAGAGTTTTGCCATTTGATATCTGTCCTTTCACATTTTTCACACCCAATTTGGGAGTAACATCACAGAAAGCAGAGTCATTATGTACAATGCTGTTATAATGATTACAGTCATTGTCATGGAAATGCATGCTGAGGACAAGAATAGGGTAGGTCTGCAATGAAACTTGTAAGGTTTCTCATTCCTATCGTGAAATGACTGTCAAGAGGATGGATTAATTTACTGCCATCATCTGTGTTGTGGTTTAACCCGGCAGGCAGCTAAACATCACACAGCCGTTCGCTCACTCCCCGCCGCCCCAAGTGGGATGGGGAAGAGAATCGGGGGGAGAGGGGGATTCCTATCGTGAAATGACTGTCAAGAGGATGGATTAATTTACTGCCATCATCTGTGTTGTGGTTTAACCCGGCAGGCAGCTAAACATCACACAGCCGTTCGCTCACTCCCCGCCGCCCCAAGTGGGATGGGGAAGAGAATCGGGGGGAGAGGGGGGGTAAAATTCATGGGCTGAGATAAAGACAGTTTAATAGGACAGAAAAGGAAGGGGG